GATTTGGGTCAGGGAAAACATAAATCTGTCTTGCAGGATTTGTCTGTGTGCGCAAGGAGTTGGACAGTGGGCAAGTCATGGAAAACAAGTCAACATGGACAAAGTGACTGAGGCGGCAAAGTTTGGTGGCCAAACTCAGAACTGGTTGCTCTGATGGGATAGAAGGACAACGCAACCCTGGCATATTCTTCATCTCTAAACTTTCTGAGTCCTCGGTCTGTCTCCTGTCCAGATTCTAGCTGATGGTGTGTGTATCTCACTCTAGTTTCTGCCTGGCCATGCCATGCAGGAGTCCCTGGCTGATATTTTCTCAGCTCTATCTTCAGCAACTGCTGTTTTGGGATATGATAGTTTCAGGAACAAAGGGTGATACTGAATAAACTCCCAGTGAGATACTGAACAGAGCATTTGATGACCTTTTGCATGAAAGCAAAATGCTCTCTTTCATTCCCACCCATTTCTGTGTCTGTGAAACTTGCTGAGAAAGCTGCCAGTCTGCTACTGGGGTAAATACTTTCTCATATATGATTGCCTATGAAATACCTCAATAAACATAATTTTTATTATAATATGGGAAGCACAAATGGTGTATTGCATACGGGGCCAGACAGAAATGTCCGACAACTAAAATGACATTTTAATGTCCTAAATTTCTTCCCCCCACTTCTAAAGGCCATCCCTTGGTTTTAGTGGCATGCAACATCTTGGTAGAGAATCTCAGTTAAAACATTAACTGTTTTTATGGCTAAAATTCTCATCCTTTGGCATTTAATAATACTTATAAAATCCTTGTGATGTTATTTCTAGTAAGGCTGTTCCACCATTATTGAAAGTTATAGCGAAAGATAGTCTGAACCATATCCAAAACTCCTTTCTCTAAATTACACCCTTTCACAGCAGCCTGAAAATAAAAAAGCAAAACAAAAGGGTGATTTATTGACTTCAACTCTCAGATCCTGCCCTGAGCACAACATGACTTGACATGGGACTTGGGACCTGAAAGAACAAGGGAAACATGGATTTTCTGTAGCCACAGCCCTCACACATAGAGGACGAATCAGCTTCTGTTTTCCTACAGCTTTCAGCTCTGCAGTCCCACTTTCTATTTCCTTGTGCGGGAGAATTCTGGCATGCTCCTTTGGGGATCCTCCTGAACCAGTGACCATCACTGAACTTGTGCAGATTTTGCATGAGTGGTTTTGAAAAGGTTTGTGACTTCATCCATGTGGCAGTCTGTGAATTTCATTACTCTTTAACAGGAAACATTATTTCTAATAAATGTTATTAGAAATAACAGTAAATTAAAACCCCAGTGATTTATACTAATGAAATCTGATTTTGGTTGTTGCTGTGAAATTATAAATCAGCAGAGCTTCTGCTGTCTCACTTTATGATTAGTACAAGTCTGCTTCTTCCAAAGCCATTAATGGGCTATGCCAGAGACTTTCTGCAAAATTCTCTAACCCACAATAAATGAAAGTATGTCTGTGAGTTCAGGGTGTTAAAAACCCTGTCCCTAAAACAACATGCATTTTCCTTAACAATTTATGTTTACGCTGTACATGGGCTTTTTGTTTGACAGCTTTGGTGTTCTCAGGGGCTTATTTGTGTTGTCAGGTTGCATGATGTCTGGTAGTCTCACTTTTCCAATCATACACTAAAAATAAAGAACAGGCAAAGACCAAGCTTTATGTTATGTTTTGTGCTAACCTAGAACAAGAAGTCTTCTACTAAACAGATATGAATTTCAAAGGTGACTGGGAACTGCTTCAGTCCTCCCTGTACATCTCCTTGTTCTGAAATACGTTTTGTCTAATCAAAGGCCAAAATCTGCCCCTATCAAGTCAGTGCAGTAAAGTGAGGCTAGCTTGTTATTTTTAAGTCTCTTGGAGCAAAGACTCACTGTTTTAACTCATCTCTACAGTGCCATTTACACTTATTGGAATGGCATTATATCAATACTAAATACAAATAAGCCCAGCTTCAGAAACAGTTCCCTAGGCAATTAAATATCAATGAAAACACAAATGCAAATCAACACAAATCTATGAATTCAAATAAAGGCTTGTAGATTAAAGTATGAAACTAGTTGCCTGAAATATATAATCAAAAAATACAGATCTGAAAATTCCTTTAGGTTGTCTAATTCTTCTTGAGGTCTCCATCTCCTTTGCTACAAGTACTAGTTACTCTCCTTAATACCATTGCTGATCTGGACCATTTTTTTTTTCCTACCAGTACGACTGAAGTATATATGATGTTAGACTCTTCACTCAAGCTGTTGAAATCAAACACTGAGGAAGCAGTAGCAAAAGCTAATTTGGGGGTATCCTGATGTAGCCAGCACACGCTTAGTGAGCTAGATCATGTTGGGTTAGGCAGGTCACTCTAAAGGCAGGTCTTACCCACAACACTGGTGAGTTCTCAGGAACTGGTTGAAAAAAGGCCCCAGGCCAACACATTCACAAGCCCACCCTTTGCATGGCATATGTAATCTGTTCTTGTGCACAGATTTAGTGGTGGTG